TTCTCTTCCAGTCCTTCTCTGGCCGCGGTTGGCGGGCTTTGCGTGCCGTCTGCCCTCATCCCTTGTGCCAGATCGTTATTACTGTTGTTGTTATTATTATTATGTCTCAGTTTCCCCCCCCAGTTTCACAAGTAAATCCCCCTCCCTGCTGCATTCAGCTAGGGGTTCCTACAGCTCTGCCTTTCCCGGGTGGGCGTGTGGTCCTGACTGGCTTCTGCCCGCCAACGTGTGGAAGATAACAATCCTCCTCCGAGAGATTAAAACGTCTCGGTCTGGACGTGTGCTGTTTCCTGCAAAAGGGGAGAGGTGGTTATGCCTGTCCCAGGTGTCCTGGGGAGGAACTCCCCGGTGCTTGGGAAGTGTTTGGGGAGAAAGTGCAGGAGTTGGTTTGTTTGTTTTTAAAAAAGGTTACTTTGTTAGCCGTAAGGAAAAATATTTCTCTTCTCTGTATCTTCCTGGCTTTTGGTCTCCAAAGATGTCTGTTTGTTGACTTTGTGTGTTTCTCCCCAAAAGCAGGTTTTCTGTTCTCATTTGCAAATGTGATACAGAACATGGTATAAAGTGAAGCCCTGCTAAAGCCTTTATCCTACAGAGACCTGTCTTATTTGAACAAATGTGGTGTGAGAGAAGGGGAGACAGGGGCAGTGGCCTTTGGCTCGTGTGGCTGATGTTACATGACTCTTGATTTTTCTCCTTTAAAAAGATGGAAGACTGTTTGGCAAAAAAACTGGAAATCACTGTCTCGGAAGCCGAAAAACGGACCGGGAGGAATGCCATGAACATCCAAGAGACATACACTGCTTACCTCATTGAGACAAGGTGGGTGATGAGAGCTCACTTGGAGTACGTGGATGTGCCGTTCTGAACAGGTTCTCTTTCCTTCCCCACAAAAATATCGAGGTACAGGCGATGAGTGGATTTAGTTTGTTTATGATTTGTTACGTGATTATCAGCCTACTCTGGAGGATCTTTTCCCATGAAAACTTGGCATCAGACCTCCAGTTCAGTATTAATACTGGTGTTGTGTAACTGTGTACTGCAATTCTTCGTTTGGAGCTAGGTGGAAAAATGTGTGCTTGAGAGATGTTACTTTAATACCGTGTCAACAACTGCCTGGTTATAAATAACCAGGGTTGGATAAATTTATATACATATATATGAGGTTGTATGTGCAGCTTGTATGTGAGAGAGGTTGTGCGTTGTGGCCTGCAGTAATGGTTAGGCTTGTTTGGGGTCACAAGAAAGTAGTCTCCTGACTTTATGTGGTCAAAATTTACTGCTCTGCTAATATTTGAAGTGTTTTGCTTGATCTGATCACCACCCACTCCTTGTAGATGCTCTAAGGGTTAGGGTTAATTAACTATTTCCTACCTTCATACTAGCTTCAGCTTTCACTGGAGAACTTGGCTGCTTTCAGTCTTTCTGTGTCAGCAAGGTTAATAATACAAGTATGGTAAACAGGCTTGGTACCACAAAGACAACTTGCAATTATAACCAGTTAGTAGTGAACAAGGCTTTAAAATCTCTTCTGACTTATAGTTACTTCCCAGACAGTCACAGATGACTCCTGTTATGCAGGATCGTGTTACTAAGCTGAAACAAGGATTTCAAAATTAGACTTTATTAGGAGTTTTGTCTCTCTCTTCATTATATTAACAGTTTTAACCTTTGGGCCTTGCCTTGGGAATGATTTGCTGTACAGATAAAACCTTCTGAAACAAAGCAGTTGCGTTTTGCAAAGGGTCTGGAGAGTTCAGATTGTAACACTATCACGTAAGTCTTCTAGTCGCTTGTTAAAAGGCTCCTTAGCTTGTTTGAGGGGACACACCAGTCACACTAACTGCAGACCTACTGGGATACTTTTACTATATTTTGCTAAACTTAAAGAATAAAATCGAAAATAGACATACATTATATTTTTCAAATATTGTAGCTTTTTGGCAGTTGCTCAAATATTTGAAAAAAATACTTTTTCAGCGTATTGATAATAAAGATCACATCTTCTCACATAAGTAGTGTTATTGTTCTTTTAATGATGTTTCTGAAGGAAAAGAGAAGAAAATCGGAATCATTGATGTCTAACTGTGATGTGAAATGTACTCTGGGGGCATCTTTATGCAGCCCCAGAACATGCTGACTGCATCTCCTTTCCCGGTCATTCTGACATTACTTTAGACTCACTCCTGCTGGTCTTTCCCAGTGGTTCTTTCATAGTGGCAAACCTGTATTTTGCTGCACAGATTGCTTTCTTTCATTAAGATTTATTTTATTCTGTGGTCAGCAAATACCAAGACCAATTGCATGTTTGTCACAGAAGTATTCAAAATGTGGGTTTGTCACATCTCTAATAAAACAAGTTCTCTATTCCTTTTGCTGAGAAGGCAAAATTTCTTGCATAAATATAATTGCTGGCTATTAAATGTGCTGCCTGCTGAGCCTGTAGCTGTTTGTGGGCTTCACAGCAATTTGTCTGTGGGTAATAGGATATTTTGTAGCTGAAGAATGAAACTCAGTTTATAGTAATATAAAAGGAAGACCACTTAATAATAGTTGCATTACGTTTGTGTGAACTGGGGTTCCACCATTACTGCTATCTAGGATTTAATTTCAGTTTGAATTGAGGAATTGCATGCATCTGGGTGAAGAAGAGACACTAGATGGATGCAATTACAACCATGGTAGATTTGCTATGGAACAGGAGCTCAGTACCTAAACTTTGAACGCCTTAGTTTCACTAGCGCTGATGAAATTGTTTTCAGAATGCAGGTGGTGGTGTTGCTTTTTTTCTTTTCAAAATGAAAAAATTTATTACTATTCTCACACTTTCATCTGACTCTTACTTATTTTTTTTTTAAGTGATATTACACCTTGGTGTAGATCTCTTTCTTTGAGACAAAACAAACTCCGCTGCTGTAGATTGCAGAGCCTCAGCAAATTCCAAGGGTTGTGCTTCCTGATAGTGTCTCCTTTATTTTTTTGCACCTTTCTGCATTAGCTCAGTAGATTTTTGTGGGAGCTATTTCCGTTCAATTAGTCTTGAAGTCAGTTTGTCTCACAGCTTCCATTAAACTATACAGTTATTTAAAAATAACTTGGTTTTTATATTCTCCGTGTGAGAACAGATGAACACTTCCACCTCTTTGTGAGAAACGGCAGTAACGCAAATACAAATTCTTATAATTAGGATGTGTAACTAAATATTCCTTCTTGAAATGTGGATGCTTAGCATGTCCCTTGCTTTCTGTAAGGGAAATTGCAAACATCCAGGACTTTGATTTGCTTGCTTTTTAGAAGTTCAGGCAGCTGTGTCTTATAACAGAGTCTGCATGAAACTACAAGAACTGAGATAGAATGAAACCCAGAATTTGACTCCTGGTTGTGTACCCTTTGTTTTCAATGGCAGAGCTGAAAGTTAATCAGAATGCAGAGCACCTCTAATTGCTCTGTGCTAATGGACTTTTAATTATAGTGCAGGGATGCCTTTTTTTCCTGTTCTCCTTCAAAGTAAACAATTTCTTCTGTACTAGTAGGACACTTCCATTTAGTTAACTTTGCTTCTGTCCCTGCTGACTTTCAGATCTCTAGCGTGGTCCTCCTGGTCACACAATATGATGACTAGAGTGTGGGGATGTTTGTGTTCTGTTTGTGGGGGGTTTTTTTGTTCATTTGTTTGTGTTTTTTTTTTTTTAAATGTGGCTTTAGGAAAAAGTAACACAACTTTGTGCAGCCTGGTAGCTGACTACTTCATGGCAGGATCCCTGGATTCCAGCCCTACTAGTCTTTACTTCCTTTTGAAGTAATATGGCAGGGTGGCTCGCTGTATTTGCCCAGTATGGTGGGGAAGTTACTAACCTTATTTCTGCTTTCAGTATTTGGAAAGTTTTCCGTTAGTTAACTTGTGACATGAGCGATACCTGCTTCTCCTTTAAGACCTTGGATCACCCATCCAAAGTGTAAGGACTTATAAAGAAAGTTTCTGGGAGAGAAATGAACTTGGAAATCAGTAGCCAGGTCAGAGTTCAGTGGGGTACTTCAGGAGTTTTTGCTTTGTTATGTTTTGTTTGAGTTCCTTTCCCAAAGTCTCCCATTTCACCTTGGGCTAGGCGAAGAGCCTAGGCATGTGTTTCCTGGGTAGAGGCACAGAATGAGTGCCCACAGAGGTATGCTGTCGTCTGATAAAACAATAAAATGCAGATTTTGGTCATTGAGAGTCAGGAAGACTTGTCTGCTCCCTCCAAAGGTATTGTAAAGAAAAAAGGAAGAAAGTCTGAATTCAGCATGAGCTTTAAACAGGGGAGAGTCAGGAGATGAAAGAAGATGGGAGAGTTGAAAACTTAACTTCCGATCTGTACTTTAATTAATACTATGAATCATTAACCTGCCTAGTGGATGTACGTTTTAGTTGAACACAGCAAACTGTTTAGGTGACAGTATAAAAAAAAAAAAAAAGATCACCTGGCTGTGAAAATCTTCTGACAAGCAAACTGCCTCTTTGTCATATAGCTTGCCGGGTAACTTCTGGTGGTTTACAAAGTACGTAGTTCATCTGTGATGATTGCTCCTCGGTCTGTTGAGAGGCCTAAATACAGAGACTGTTTCTAAAGAGCTAATGGAAAAGGTTGCCCAGCCCTCTAAAATGCCGTTCCTCTACGCAGAGAGTGGACGTTGCCTGCTGTAGGGGAGTGGAAGTGTCTCTTCTCACGCTCTGGAAAGTCAAAGGCTGAAAGCAAAGTTACTGCTTCTGCCACTGAAGAGGTGATTGCTTTAACAAGGAAATAAACCAATGTATTTCCTCCTCGTCTGATTTAATATTTGCAGCCATTCCACTTTTTATTGCATTCAGAATTGTTTAATGGCTCATTTAAGATAATTAGTTTTAAATGGGAAATGGGAAGAGGTTAATTAGATAGACTAAAGTTTTCACATTGGCACTTGGAATTAAGGCAAATGAACGTAACTCTTGGAGTAATGTAATCTTCTGGTCGCTTCTGATAATGTCAATTATGAATGTAAAAGCTGAAGGTTTCAATTTTGTCTTTTAATTTCTTTTCAGGCAGGTTGGTTTGCTCAGTGAATAACGTGCATTGTTAAAACTGTACTTAGAGGGGAAACATATGGTTTTCCTGCCTAAAGACTGTACAAGTATTATATTGTTTTTAAAACCAAAACAAATTGAGAAGTTTGACTGAATGTCAACAAGTGATTATAATCTTAATTGAAACTGGTCTGCAGTACTTGCATTTAATGGTGGAGTTCATAACGTGGTCTAAAAAATTAGCTGGTAATGAAGGTATTAAGTGTAATGAGTACCTTTGTGAATTTCTACTTCCTCTCTGGAACAGGGTTCCTGGGGAGAAATGCCCTTGTAATTGGTGGTATTTTATGGTCTCATATGTAACCAGGTGGAGACATTCTTGGTGTGATTAAAAAAAATTATTTCTCTCATCTTACTCGCCTGTCCCAAATCCATCCATGCAGTTTCAAACGCTTATTACCTCATTTAAAAGGCAGCGGTGTGGATGCATGCTCATAACAGAGGGCTGTACACTACCTTCCCACCACAGCTTTGCTGTCTACAGAGAGCAGAATCTGGCGGCTTTTACTTTATCAAAGCCTGTGTGGAAGGGGGAATCTTAATCTAGTATTAATAATTTCAAAATATGTCTTAAATTTATTCAAATGAGTTAACTTAAGAAGTGTTGCTTCTTCATGGGGCGCTACTCAGCTGCTGTCCTGAAATCTTGTCTTTCCTCTCCAGTCACCAAAAGTCCCTCAACGGATGTTTTGCAGCCTGTTGAAAACAACCCGGCTAGAGCGGG